GATATTTTGAGGTACATCAATTTTTGACGACGAAGTTGACATCCGTCCATTTGCCTACGCCCATGACGACACCGAAATTCAGGCAAATTTTATGATACTTCATGATTTATTACTCTACACTCATTTGAAACCAATTATAGTATTTCTGTGTATAACCGGTATTGTTTCTGTATTTTCTGCAATTCTAGACACAATTATGCAAAGAGTTTGTAAATATGCTTTCGAAGACTTTATTTTCGAGCATTTTTTTTAAATTTAGTTTTATCAAAATTTTTATAAAATATCTTTTTTATCCCTTCTAGCTATCTATCTTTTTTCAGAAACTATTTTAGTATTTATTAAGCACTTATTTATATTCTGTAGTGAGATCCTACAATATATTAACTTGTTCATGTTATGCCAGAGACAAGGCCAATCAATGAATTATCAAGCCATTATTACGTTACCTAACAACGTTTGAAATATTTCAGAATAGTAACTATAAAAAAATTCTAAAATTAGTCTGCAACCTTCAAGACTTGTAATATTGGTTGCCTACCCATTGACTAATAAACAAACGAAAAATTATAAGAGAAAAAATAATATTTACAATCATTAATAGGTATGTATCTTTCGTTAGAATTTTATTTATCACTGCCGTGAATTAACTTAGTGTGGTATAGTAGGATCGTTTTACCCTGTCGTATTTCGGATTAATGCCCGAAAAATAATTTATGACTCTAGTTACAGCCACTCTGTTATTCTTTCCCTTTTCTACTTGCTTTGTGGTACCGAACCTCCTACTGGTTGGCTGTAGTACTTAAGGATAAATCAGCGCTACCAAAATAATTTTTTTATAAATCGTGAAAAAACGCAAATTCTATAATATATTATTATACAGATTAAACGAAATAAATTCGGAACATACGAAATATTATGTATTTCGGCTCAATTTTGCTTTAGGTGGTTGGCCAACAAAATGTTGTCAAATGATTATATTATAAAAATCCAATACTTCAGCGGGCTGCTGGATTCTGAAATCATAAAAATTGAAAGCTACACATAAATCTACGATTTTATTATTGCTGTCAAACCAGTTATCGCTTCTTTAGACAACATTATTGCGAGACAGATAGTTGAACGATATTTTATAAATGTCTAAACCCAGGTATGGATTTATTTTGTCCAAGTTTTATATTGGTCCACTATTTCAAATGCAGTTCAAACAGACATATATTAAATTGTATGATCCGTTTTAAATTCGTTCAATCTGTATATGATTATTTTACTTTAGATATACTTTATATAAAAATCAACATGGGACCAATTACATCAGTACTGGCAGTTCAAAAAAGGTGCAGCTTGTGGAATTTCAGAACGGACCTTAAGAATTCGCAAAATGAGTAAGGAGGAATTAAGTAAGGAAAATAAAAGGATTCGTTTGTATCCGAAAACCCTCGACTTGCCACAAGGTATTAAAATCTCAATCAGAAATATCATTTATGACATGTACAAAGCAAAAGAACATGTTACAAGAAAGACACTTATTCAAAAAATAAAGGACAGAAAACTTTGTGATACGGGATGTGATATGATTTATTAAAAGCTATAGGTTTTTAGATACAAAAAAAACCAATAATCGCAAAGTGTTGTGCGAGCTGTCCAATGTTGTTGGAAAAAGGTGAAAATTTATAAGAAAATATTAAAAAAAAAGAATTACGAATTTGCCAGAAAATTTGTGTTTCTTGACGAAACATGGATTTTTGCGAAAGGAAATAATACTAAATCATCCTGGCAAGATGATTCTACCAAATGCTATTCGAGTACTAGTGTGAGTAATGGCAAAAGATATATTATTTTGCATGCAGGAAATACGGAAGATTTTATACCCAATGCTAGTCTTATATTTTCTTCGACAAAAAAAACTGATGATTACCACGGAAATATGGACGCCGATATTTTTGAACATTGGTTTGAGGAAAAATTGCGGCTCTGTTTGCTCTGTTCACTTAATATTGCACTTCAGTTTCGAGCTTTCCGTAGCTGGATAAAGTAATGCCATACTTAAACTGCATCACTTGTTATAATATCTGACCTTCCCGCTCCAATTTAGATCTTAGTAAATTTGCTGTTGTAACCATGCATTTTGTTTTTTTAAGGAAATTAATATGTTAAATTTTCTGGCGGGTATATTAAATTGATGCAGCATAAGTTGTAAGTCATCTTCACGTAGAGAGAGTAGTATTGCGTCGTCTGCATAGCGATTATTTTTAAGTTGTTTTTCTCCCATTTGGTATACTTTTTTAGTTCTTATTTTTTTTATTATTTCATCCACAATCAGGTTGAACAATAGAGGACTCAGAGAATATCCTTGTCTTAAATCATTGCCAGCTTCAATAGGGTCGGTTAGTTCTTCTTCCACTTTTACTTTTATTGTGTTGTTTTGGTAAATATTTTTGATCGTTTTGATTATTCCTATCTCCTATAGATATATTCCTATCTTAGGTATCTCTCTTGCGTACAATAACGTCCTTTAATTTGACATAGTCTAATGCCTTCTTAAGGTCCACGAAACATAGATATGCCGGTTTGTTGTATTCTAATGATTTCTCTTGCACTTGCCTCATTATAAATATAGCATCGGTGCATGATGTTCCCGACCTAAAACCTTGTTGTTCTTCTGCTAGTGTTATATAAACACTTGCAGAACACTAGTTATAGGAACCCGTAACTACAAGATGTAGAACCAAATCAACATACATACGGGCGGTTAAAGTTGGTTGGATGAAAATTAAAGGAGTTTTTTGCTGATCCTAATACCTTTATCGGGAATATACCGTTTCATTAGGAATATTTAAAGCTTTTATCAGCAATATACCATTTTATTGGAATATTCACAATTTGATTGGAAATATCTACATTTTACTGGGATTAGTGACCACATAAAACCATAGGACCACGTGTAACTGCAGCTCTCCAACTACAACATTCCATTGGAGGACCTAGCAGCTAGGACACACAAGTAGCCATCGAACAAAGCAATAAGTATTTCATTAATTGTTAAGCTTTGGCAGGGTCAATTATTGTTTTTTTTTTTCTTTTAAATAAATATGTTTGGTTAAAATTTGTTTTATTTGCTATCAACTGAGAACTCAGGTTCAATCCCTATTTTAAGGCAAGACAAACTCACCCTTGAGATACTGAGCTAGGCAAGGTATAGACGATAAGCTCCCATGGTTGATTGAAGTATTATTTTCACAATATTACTTCAATTCTCTTTGGTAGTCTTATCGTTACACATTGGCGTTATTATCGTTATTATCTCATCGTTACTCTGTGTTCAAGAGCCATGACCTCACCCTAGAAACAAAAATAAGGCTCCTTAAATGTTACGTGTACTCAGTGCTTCTATACGGAGTAGAAACGTGGACATTGAAGGTGAAAACTCTATCAAAACTTTAGGCTTTTGAGCTATGGTTATACAGAAGGATCCTGAAGATACCATGGACAGACAAAGTCACCAATAAAGAAGTACTGCGGAGGATAAACACAACCGCGGATTTGGTCAACATCTAATGAAGGGCCGTAAGCTGCAGTACTTGGGACATATAATCAGAAATCAAGGCAGATACGAGCTACTCCAATGCATTTTGCAAGGTAAAATTAAAGGAAAAGGGACCCCATGACAAAGAAGAATATCCTGGCTTACTAACATGAGAGCATAGTATAGAAAGACCTCAACACAGCTATTTCGTATAGCACCCAACGAACTCATCATAGCCAGAATGATGGCCAATGTTCGGAACGGACAGGCACCCTAAGAAGAAGAATATCTCTTCAGAACATGACACTTTCTTCTTTATATCTGCGAACAGATCTGGAAATTTCCTGTTACGATAAATAAAATATAAATAATGAATATATTATGACGTGCAAAAACTGTAAATACATTATGACTGATCACGTATTTTCTAGATCACGAACCGGCCGAGACGCAGGTAAAAAAACCCCATACCTGACACTATGGGTCCCCCTTCGATATGAAAGCGGTCAACTACTACTCGATCGTTCTGGAAACAGGTTCGAGACTATTCAGGCCAACTTCCGTCTACTTCACGCCAGATCCTTCCAGATAACGGCGTTTCAAATAAATAACGGCGATTCTTATTGAGAAAAGGCAGTCAACAAGAAGATCGCGATCTCGCGTTAAATTGTTCGAACGCAAATAAATTATTTGTAATTATTAAGTGTAAAATAAATCAGTATAAAATAAAGACTTTTCATAAATTATCGTGAGTTTTAATAAATTAGAATAAAGACAATAAATTAGGACTAATAAAATCATTATATTCCGTTTTTGCTTGTCTTTCTCGCCCTCTAAGTACACGAATTCGTCGGTCATCTGATTTTTCACAAATCCTCGTTTCTTCTGAAAATAGCACATTTTGACAATTTCCTATGTTTTGGTTTTGGTGTTAAAGGAACCAATTTAGACGATCAATCTTGAGCTGCCTGGATAACTCGGGAACCCGTAATTGTTTAGTGCTGTATAGTCCTCGGGTAGAAAGTGTTTTTCTTATAGTTTCAACTGAAACACACCTGTAGCTTCCCAAACTTTCAGTGGTAGCAGTCAGCGGATTTTTCATATTTGGGGGTCCATTGAAAATATGAAACAATAAAACTCCTTTAACGTATTAGTTCCTTTTAGCCCTTTTTTTGGGGCATAATCAATAGCCTGTATGGGAGAGTTGGCAAATAACCAAGGAGCCATTTAAATTTTTTATTCATTTAGTAATTACACAAAGGTACAAATTTAGGAATACTTTATTGCTTAACTATCATGTAGTGTGATCGTTCTAACAAACTTTTAAATACATGAAGTTTATACATAAAAAAACATTACTCGGTACATCTCTATACGTATTAATTACATTTTATTGAATCCTAGTGGATATCTGATCAGTCTGGGAACATCAACTTTATTTAAAAGTTAACGAATTTAGAGTACTAAAATCCATAGTCTAAACCATGTAACACTTCTTGACAATTTCGGCAGCTTTTTCTGCTATCATAATTTCCGGAGCCATCAGGTTACCTGTGATACTAACTGGAATAACACTAGCATCAGCAACTCTTAACTTGTTCACTCCGTAAACTTTAAGATCCTCATCCACTACTGCGTCTTTCTGGGTAACAATACCCATTTTGGCTGTACCTGTTACTTGGCCTCGGACCACAGACATATATCTGAAAATCAAATTAGATTAGATCTTTAATTCGTGAAAAAATAAAAATAAACTACTTTCTCATTCTTAAATGTGTGAGATATATAAAGGTTATAGGCGTTTAAGAAGAAAGTAACAGTTAATTTAACTCTGAGAAAGGTTTCAATGAAGTGTCGAAGGTTGTCGAATTTTTGTCGTCTTTCTCAGTCATGTTTATACCATTTTAGAAAGAATATAGGTGACTCCATGCGACGCAGCTCAGCGGGTTGACAAAACTCACTTCGAATTTAGTTGATTACTATGTTCATAGTTCGTACCACATACCGCCCAGAAAAAAATTCCAACGTATCAATATAAAATGTACATGGACCTGCGTTTTTGAATTATATTTCGTGAGTGAATCAAGTCTGTCGATGGATGAGTAGAAGACTGAAAGGCGTTCCTACCCTTCTGGGTAGGCAGAAAACTGGTACCTACCCAGAGAGTATAACAGCATATGTACAAAGCATGTGTTAACCATGTGAATCAAAATCGTTGCATTGGTTGAAAAGGTTGTAACTAGTATCCTTGAGAATACCAAGGAATTATTTAAATTTTCAATATATCTTTTTGACCATTTAGATGAAAAAATAGAGAGAAAAGGCATGACTTACAACAAATAATTGGTTTTCCCAGGTTCTTTCTCACTCAGGAGCATTGCCAATGAGAAAATATGGATATTTAAAGGATGAACCGTCGGAACGTTAACTCTATTCCCCAGATTTGAGTACCTGTGCCGTTTGTCTATTCCCATATCTTAAGAAATTAGTAACTAAAACACGCTTTACTCAAATAAAGAGATGATATCATTTTAGAGACTAAATCGCCTCATTGAAGAGCTGTTGGGCTACTTGTATAAATTAACAAACGAGCCAATCGAAGGTACAGTTAATCTATAGGTACATTGAAAACTTAAATGTAGTTAAACTTACTTGATGGCACATTTCCAATACTCATCGTTGAAGATAGCTTGATCACATTCGGGAATCTTCTCCTTCACCAACTTAACTCCCAGTTTCTGCATAGCTGGTCCGTTCATCATGTTCAGAACTTTTCGTATGCCGGCCATCAGAGTACTCACGTCATACTCATCTTCGTCTGAGAGGGCCATAGGGTTTATGTATGGTTGATGGTATGGATCGACATCATTTAGCTTTATAAAACCTTTCGATTTTGGATGTAGGAGAACTATTTCAACGTTGAAGCCTTCGTAAGGTTTGCAGAATATGTCTTTGAGGTCTTTTCGTAGGTTTGCTCCCTTGAAGTGGTAACAACCTAAAATATATTATGGAATAATCAGTAACATTTTGGACAAGAATGAAATATTGTCATTAATTACTATCACTAATATCTCACCTCCTTTGGGATGAGTTTTCTTAATCAACAGCTGAACGTCGGGGTAGTCAGTCTTGTCTCTGGAGAATTCGGTTTTGACGTAACCGATCAACTGAAGACCGGTAGTACTGAGAGGTCCCTTACCATATCTCAAATACTTTATGATATCTTCGTCAGAGTGATCGTTTACCCAATGCATTTCTGATTCTTGTTTAATAGTTTCTTCTTTCCTTTGTAGTAATTCTTGCTCGTAGCTTACACCTATCTGTGGGATAAAGGTGTGGTCTTTGGTCTCATATCTGATGTCGAGACTGATAGGTGGTCGTTTTTCTTTTATTTCCAAGACATTGACTAGTTCAATAGCAGGGTCCTTAACGTGGTGATAACTGTCTGAGTGATGGTGAGTATCTTCTTTAACTTTATGGTAATCTTCTTTGTGATAATGATCTCCTTTATCATGATGATTATCTTCTTTAACGTGATGATTGTCTTCTTTATCATAATGATGCTCTTCTTTATTATGATGATGCTCTTCTTTCTCATGATGATGCTCTTCTTTCACGTGATGATGGTCTTCTTTAATTTGATGACGACCTTCATTTGTGCTAGACTGACCCTCTCCAACAGACTGCGACGTTAGGTCGGTTTGAACTGTTAGAATACCGTGTTGTATGGCGTGCTTTTCGTGTAGTGGATCATAGACAAAATTAAGACCAACGAAGGAAACCTGATCCTTGAGACTCTTTCCCACCGCCAGATCTGCAACTGGATGGATTCCGAAGTGTTCTAGATCTGATTTTCGACCAATACCTAAAACAGGAAAAGAATCAATTATTTGTACACATGGAAGATAATATTTATATCCCATCAAGAGATAAAGATTATTTCTGTGGTAGAAATTAAGAATGGAATAGTTTTTTGGCGCTTTCAAGCTTAACGAATAGAAGTGTTAATATCTAGCTCTAACAGAAACACAAATAAACTCATACAGGGGAAGTAAGAATGTAGAGGTGACATGAAAGACCTAACATAATTGGGAACTAATAAATGTTGTTTACTTTGGAAAGATTTGGAGACTCAGTTACAAGAATAGATAAAATATATAGAGAGAATAAAAACGATAGCGAAAATTATAGGAAGTCGCCTAGGTGGGAGGTCAATGAAAGCTGCCAAAAGTCCGTGGTTTAGAAAAATAGTACAGAACTCCTGAAAGTAGATGAAAAATTGAACTAATATGTATATACTTACCAGACAACATAAGAAGCTGTGGAGTATTAATAGCACCCGCTGCTAAAATAACTTCCTTCGTGGCCTTTGCTATAAAAACTTTCCCATCATGTACATAAGTAACACCATGGGCCTCCTTGGTAATCGGACTGACGAGAACCTCAATAACTTGACTGTAGGGGGAAAGCTCCAAATTTTTTCTATCTTTAATAGGCTTGAGGTAGGCCTTGGCAACACTGTGGCGTTTGCCATGCTTGGTAATCACCTGAGGTAATCCCAAACCAAGGTGTTCTTTGCCGTTGTAGTCGATACGTTCCAATCCGCTTTCTAAGCCAGCTTTCAGGAAATGTTCTGCTAAGATTCGATCACTAGGATAGAGATTTTCCAGATGAATTGGACCACCTATAGTGAAAAATATATAACATTAATATTCTTGGACGATTTACGAAAAGTATGATTCTTACCGTAGTGACGGAACTTTCTATCCATATCTTCTACACAAGCGTCTTCCATGTTTTTGAAATATGGCAGAACATTGTCCCAACACCATCCCTTCATCCCAGTATCTGCCCAAAGATCGTAGTCTCGTGGATGTCCTCTCGTATATAACATGTCATTAATCGCTGTATCTCCTCCTACAGCTTTTCCTTTTACCACAGAACACATATTTCCAACTGAACCTAAAAATAGATGCAATTGCATAATAATATTGAACTTATATTTCAGTTTGGTTTTACCTAAACAAGCATGCTTCTGGGCGCATGTTTTGTATCCCCAAGTATACGCTGTTGTTTGCAGTTGAGGTTGCATAGCCGGTACTTCAGTGACGGTAGTCTCTAAACCTCCGGCTTCCAGAACTAGAGTGCGCCATCTTGGTTCTTCCGATAGTCTGTGGGCCAGCGTCAAACCAGCAGTTCCTCCTCCTACTATGATGAAGTCGTACTCTTCAGCACCTGTAAAGAATGAGAATTTATAAATAAGGTCGGATATTGTAATCGCTATTAAATGTATTGAATATGGATGTATACAACCGTAATGAAGAAATTACAATATAAAAAATGTTAAAAGTTAAAAAAATATAAAAAGTAATTCCCATTTAAACAGAACAAGATGAATGAGATAGTAAGGGAGCATCAAATGGTCTTTAGAAAGAATATATGAGTGGTGGATTAAATATTTTCTTTAATTAAAGGTTAATGAACATAAGGGGAAAAGTATCAAATATGCTTCAAGTTAAGGTTGTACTTTTGACTGGAAAAGCATGGAAATTCTTTAAGATGAGTGTAAAGTTATTTTTGTTAATTTGTTGCTGAATTATTACAAAATAGCTTCAAAAGTAGATTTTTTGAAAATTATTAATAACTTTTCTAAAAATGCCCAAAAAACATTAATTTCGCGTGATAATAGGAACAGTGTCATATCTATTTATGCTATAAAAATTTCAAGAAGCTTGACTTAACAGTTATTGCCAAATTGAAATTGTTTATCCCAGAAAGCTTCTATCTACAACGATGTTATGCTATTAGGTCTACATGAATTCTGAAAATACCAAATTGAAGACAAAGGATTATTATATTAAATTAAATCAATTAATGATTAAAAAATGTATGTTAATTATTATAAAATAGGTTTACAAAAGTAATGTAATTTTAAGCATTTAAACCATTTAATATAACGATCATTAACGACGCATGAACGTGTAGAAAGTTCATTTTTTATTTGAAAAGTACAAAAGCATTTTTACACGAATTAAAAAAAAGATGGTACCGTAGGCGATACAGTAGACTAGTGCGAAACATCATACTGTTTTATCTAGTTTTAAAATTTAAATATTTTTCCGTAAAATAGTTTCGAAACACAATTCAGATTTCTGCTTATAATCTGAGCCTTCTAAAAATGATAAAGATAAAATGATTATAATCTGATCAACGTCTGTTTGCCTTGCAATTTTTAGAAGGCTCAGATTATAAGCAGAAATCTGAATTGTGTTTCGAAAACTATTTTACGGATTTTGTAATTAGATGTCGCTATCGCGTCCGTATTGAAGCCATTTTATTGTTGCTTGTTAAAAGACAGAAATATTGATTTTTTCACGTTAAGAACTCCTATGAATAGCTGTTCTAATGAGACCTATTAGGTCGAAATACGTATCAATAGATACATAGGGATTGTTTGCGCGAAATCGAACATTTGCTGTCTTTTTCATTTTAAAAATAGTACAATTAATTATGTAAATTGTAATATGTTAATTATGTATTCAGATTAAGTCGATAATTTTTATTTATAATTATACAAACTTTATAAAAATTAATTTGTTTACAATATATTTGTTATGCTTTTGAGAAAAAGTAATTGTAAAACTAATAGCATAATTCAAGAAAAAATAAGATGTATAGACTTGATTCTCAAATAAGAAATTACTTTTGGCAAATTTATCGATAAAAGATACTATTTATAACTATAAATATTTTAGTTACTTATCATTTCATAACCTCTACTTCTATTAATAATAAGAGAAAAGTAAAATTTTGCAACATAAATATTTATTTTAAATTGTTTATACAAATTACTGAGTTAAATAAACAATTGACAAATTAACTAAATGCATTTTTATGATCTATACCACGAAGTTACCCCAAATTAACAAAAATATAAATTTTCGTTTATTAGAACCGGAGATATTGCTACTTTTATAAATTTGAAGTCGTGAATTCAGTTTTTGAAATAGTAAAATCGCTTCGCTTTTAAATCCTTTATCTTTGGTGCATCGTGAACATCATGGCGTCATTTTTAAAGAAATAGTTTTGAAATTTTTTAAAAACTTTAACTTTTAATCTTTTAAATGGTGTTTTCAAATTTCTTAATGTTTATAAACAACGCCTCGGTGAATTGTTGAAAAAGTCTTACTCAGGATTTCAAGGTCGTAGGACATTGTATTATTTTTTAAAATTCATGTAAAAATATCATTTTTAATAAAAATACGCTAACGGCCAGTTATCTATTTATAAGACAGATTAAAATTCAAAAATGCAAATATATCAAACAATTTCATGAATATTTCCATATTAAGAACAATATTAATAATAATTATGTATAAGCAAAATTTTGAAATTTGGAAAACACAATAATTTGGACGTTAATGGGTTAATTTCACAGTGGGTTAACACTAGAATATATTGATCTGTTTCACCAACAACCAGATATACGATTTTTCCATATTCATAGTCAAACTCCAAGCCTTATACTCTTTATTCAATTTTTTGACCATATACCTTGTATCATCCTCATCCTTAACAATATAACCTGGTGCCAAAAAATTAGCCACGGCAAAAAACCGCTTTACTCAAATAAATAGATGATATCATTCTACAGACGAAATAGACTTATTGGAGAAATGTTGGGCTACTTGTATTGAGCTAAAAAGAGACTATATTGAGAACTACAAGGCTGGTCATACAAGGGAAGGTGGATGGGGAGAAGACGCACGTCCTGGTTGAAGAATCTGAGACATTGGAGTGGGAAAACGTCAATAGAACTTTTCAGACCATGATGATCGCCAATGACTTCAGGGATGAGGCACGTTAAGAAGAAGCCGAAAAGTTTTAGGCCTTGCTTATAGATGGCAATGCTACAGATGAAATTGATATTTTATTTTGTACGGTCACTTGTGTACAGAGAAGTCTTAAGAAAATAATATGTAGAACATTATCAACAAGAATATCCCGACATGAACACAATTAATAAAGAAATGCAACGAAAGCTCTTGAAAGCAGGACTGACTGTTGCAAAGAAAACGAAAAATAATGAAGACCGAATAAGTGAAGGAACAAAACGGTTGATGGAAAAGAGACGCACATTTCTGAGCGAAGGAAAGCGAAGCACCAATGGATTCAAAGAATTGTAGAATTGAGTAAAGGAAGATTTAAGAATCTATGACGAAAAAAAGGTAGAAAAAATAATAGAAAATAACCGGGGCCTGAAGGGCTTAAGATCAAACTTAGGAAAGCCTATAATCATCTCATTGAAGGATAAAGATGGAAAAGAAATAAGAGAAAAGAACGAAATCCTAAAAGTTACTTAAACATTTTACCGTGATTTATATTCCTCAAACAAGAACCCAGATAACACTGCAAAGGAAGATCTTAACAGAAAGATAACGAATGTCAACTCAGAAATACTCCCTAATATAGAATCCTTCGAAATCAAACAATCTATAATACAACTAAAGAACAATAAGGCTCCGGGCCCAGATGGAATACTTGTAGAAATGTTGAAGGAGGGGAGTGAAATTATTCTCGAAGAATTAATTTTTTTTTCAACGAATGCCTTTATAGAGGAGAAGTCCCAGATGATTGGAATGAAAGTTTGATAATACTTCTCTTCAAAAAGGGAGACAGGGCAGATCTGAAGAACTGTAGACCATTTTCCTGCTGTCCCAAATGTACAAACTGTTTATGAGAGTGATATCTAACAGTCAGAACTCGAATAAAGAAAGCCAATGAATATCAATTGAAGTTATGCATAGGCTTCGTTGATTATAAAAAGGCATTCAACTCCATAGAACTTTGGGCAATAGAGAGAGCTATGAACAACTGCAGGATAGGCTCCCGATACATAATGCTCATACATAATATTTACAAGAAAGCTAGAATGAAAATACAAATAGATGCGAAAACCAAAGCTATACCAATCAACAGAGGAGTTCGCCAGGGAGATGTTTTCTCATCAAAGTTATTCACACTTGGAGGGGAAGACTTGTTCAAAGACATTAACTAGGCAGATAAAGGAATACATGTTAATGTAAGAAAACTGAGTCATTTACAGACATTGATGACGCAACTATTTCAAGCTTCGGAAAAATGTAGGTCTTAAGATGATCTTGGAAAAATAAAAAATAATGACAAATACACTGAATATTAGAGAAATAACGACATAAATTTAGAAACAGTCAGCGAATACATTTACCTGGGACAGATAATGAAAGTTAACAAAGAAAATCAAACTGCAGAAATTTACAGAACAATAAGATTAGCGTGTTGAGGATTTTAAAAAACTGAGTTGGATCTTGAAAAGCACTAAAATAGAACAATATTTGAAAACCAGAATTTATGATCAGTGTATCCTCCCTATACTCACGTATGGTTCACAGACATGGACACTCACCAAGTCTAACATGGATAAAATAGTAAAAGCACAAAGAGCGATGGAAAGATCAATGCTCGGGGTGAGACTTATAGACAAAAAACAAACAAATGGATTAGAAGCAAAACGAAAGTAAAAGACTCAGGAGAACATGCTTGGAAGACCATGGTTAGGAAAGAGAAGCAGAAGAAGACCACAAATGAGATGGGCGGATGATATTAAGAAGATCGGAAGAGACAACTGGAAGCAAAATAGGCTGGAATAACTGGAAGTGGCGCAAAATAGAAGACACTGGATTGATTTGAGGGAGGCCTATGTCCAAAGTTGGATTATTTAAGGCCGAAGAAGAAGAAGAAGGGTCACTTGTTGCAAAAAGAAATACCCAATGTAAATTTGACAGACACGATATTGAATAAATACCATTCTGATACAAATTTTATGTCTTAGATGGTTTATCACCAACTAATAATTCATTCAAAGTTAACAAAAATGTATGAGTATTTGTTAAAAACAAAGCTTCTATATCGATTCAATAGTATTGATATATTCATGTAGACGGCCAAAAACTAAAACTACTGAAGAAAAAAGGAAGATATACACAATTGTCCTGTACCAACGACGATAAAAATGAGAAATTGACTTTTTTCGGTAATATTGGTGCCACTTAATGAAGAATTCGACTAATTTTTTCCTTCCGATTTACTACGATCAATGAAATGTTGTTCACGATCGATGATTAAAATAATATGGATAAGTATGTTTATCAATCCAAAGGTATTTTCTTAATTAACCGCTTCCCTTACATTGTTAGGGAAAAGATTTCCTTGTCTACCTAGATGAAAATATACAGACAAGGTCTGTTTGTTAGCAAAAAATCATTCTTCACTTGAAAAATTCAACCGCTTACAAAGGTGTAACAATTAGAAAATGGTGCGATTTGACGTATGTATTGTTGCAGCATTCTCCCTTTTCTAGCGAACTAACGTCTTTTGATTTATCTATGTGAAAATATAAAAAAAATGTGATTGAAAAACTTTTCTGTTAAATGAACAACTGTTATCAGCTATAAATATATATTTTAAAGACATTTCAAAATCATACTTCCTTGATTTAATATTAAGATATATATCCGATAACGATTAAGATACCTATTCGAAAAACGTAGGACAAAGTGCATTGAACTAAAGAGTATATTGAGAAATAATTGTTTTACTATTAAGCCGAGAATTTTGAATATTTTCTTCATATTCACGTCCATTATGTAATAATGGTTTTGATAAATTCACAGATTTTATGTATATGTAAATTTTATGCACTAAAATCAATGATTTTATATATTTCTGTCATGACTTTACCAAAAAAACCTACCTCCTAATGCCAAGGTCGCATTGAATTCCGACTTATCATAATTTCTCTCCTGATAACTGTAGTTATCAGACCACTTGCACAAATTCCCAATACCCGATCGGAACTGCTTGACATATTCGTCCACAATATCGAAAGGCGAAAATTCGGCCTTAACACTAACAAAAATCAACAATGCAAACAACGTTGAACTTGACCTTGGTCTCATCTTCGCTGATGGCCACTTCTTGTACGACTGGTTCGGTTGGTGCATTATACGCTTATATAGCTTTGCTTCTTTCGAGACGAGGTTGATTTGGGTTTTCCGAAAATTTTCCAGTTTTGTTTTTTGTCTACTCGGAATATATTACGAGAAGCCGGCTTCATAGAGTGCGTTAATTGGCAACATTTTTGCGGAATTTGCCGGGGAATAACCCCAGTGACAAAAAACTTGCTATATAAACATGCTAATGTTTGGTTTTGTGTGTAAATTTCCGTTATTTGATATATAGGGAGATTCAGTCGATTTCTTTTGGTTTACTCACTAATGGTTAAGTTACAAATTAGTCACATTACTGGGAAGATATGTGGTATACTATATTTTGCCTTATTTTGGCCTTAATTTCTTACCAGTAATCGCCTTAAAAGTGCGCAAGAGGTATTTTGCCGATTCTTTTAACTCGTGGCAAAGTTGAATATCAGCTACCAGCATTACTTAGGTGTTACTTTAATTTGCCATTATCGTTATCGAAATATATCGTCGAAAGCTCCACCCTTTGCTACACGTGTAGTGATTTTGTAAATAGTATAATAACTTCATTTCAGTTTTTACCATTTTCTTCTTCATATTAGTATTTTATTCACTAAAATATACACATATGTCCTAAAGTTTGGAATATTGTAATATTTCATCTTTTTATTAATTTTTATATATAAACTCTTCTGAATAGTTAAACATTACTTTGTTTCAATTCTCAACAATACTAAATAAATCTCAAAATCAAATAAACGATATGCAAACAAAATATTTATTCTCTTTGAGTGTACAACTTACATTTAAAAATAAATTAGTATACAAAAAAAATTATTTTTACTAAAACTAATAGTTAGTATTTCCTCTATTGGCCTGTATGTATGCCTGTAGGCGATTTGGCATGCTGCCGATTAACAGGTCGAGCTGGGCTTGCGGAATTCTGTCTCATTCTTCACGAGCAGCATCTTTTAGTTCTCGAAGTGTAATAGGGGGATTGTTTCGCATCTTGATGCGCGTTTTGAGAATGTCCCAAGCATGTTCAATAACGTTCATGTCGGGGGAACTCAAGGGCCACTGTAATGTAGATATTCCTTTTTCTTGCAGAAAATTTTGTTCGAAAATCTACTGCTGTTCGATGAGGAGGTGCGTTGTCATGCATAAACACAAATTCATTAACTACTGCCCCTCGGAATAGACGTACGGCAGGGTTTAAAACTTCCTCGATGTACACAGAACCAGTGACTCTTCTCTCCAGAACCAGCAGAATATTAAAGAAGAGGGTTGAAAGACAGATACAAGATATTGAAGAACAAAGCGGCTTTCGTACCGGGAGATCCTGCCTTGATAATATATTTATCCTACGACAAATAATTGAAAAGCGTGTCGAAAGAAGTAGAGAGACCCATTTGGTATTTATAGACCTTGAGAAAGCATATGATAGAGTCCCGTTAAAGAAAAGGTTTGAGGTCCTCGAAAGGTCCGGATTGGATTCGACGTATATCTGAGCAATATATAAATTATACGAAAATGCAGTTAGTTGTGTAAAAATTGGAACCAGAACTTCAAATGAATTTAAAGTCACTAAAGGCCTAAAGCAAGGATGCTGTTTGTCACCGACACTCTTTAAAATATACGTCCAAGAAGCATTGAGGAATTGGAGAAATAAATGTAGATTTATGGGCATCGAAGTGGGACAAGAAACTCTGTATACATTGTTGTTTGCAGATGATCAGTTGGTGGTTGCAACCGATGAGGAAGATATAAATTATATGAATCGAAAATTATTTGAGGAATATGCCAAATGGGGGCTTACTCTAAACATAAGCAAAACAGAATATTTATTAATTGGAGGTAATACCGCAGATCTGAGGCTTGAAAACGCAGTCATAAAAGGTTACAACCAGTATAAATATCTAGGAAGCATCATAACAGCAGATGGCAGACTTAAGATAGATGTACAAAACCAAATAACCCAAGGGAAAAAATGCATCCGAATACTGAATTCATTACTGTGGTCTAATTAAATAAAGATGCATACCAAACTTCGTGTATACAGAGCAATTGTAGAACCAATTACCACATATGGTGCCGAATGTTGGACGATGACAAAGATTGAACGAGATAAAGTAGACGTTGTGGAAATGGATTATCTTAGAAGGTCATGTCGAGTATCGAGAATGGAAAGAATCTGGAATGAGGAAATACGAAACCGTACAGGAATTAGAGATACTCTTTCAGATAGAATACAAGGAAGGCAATTACAATGGTATGGTCACGTGATGAGAATGGAGGAGGAGCGGTGGTCAAAGAAAGCCTTAATGTATGTTCCGCCAGAAAGAAGGAAAAGGGGAAGACCACCAAATTCCTGGAGAAGAGAAATTACAAAAACAATGCAATCTAGAGGCTTAGAAGAGGGAGATTGGAGAGATAGGAAAAGATGGAGGCTGAAATGCGGGAAGCGGCAATCGCCGTAGGACCCCCGTTATATGATGATGATGACCATAATACCGTCACTTTCAAATGGGATACGCGGTTGGGCTGTTTCTACTCAGGCTTGTCGTTCTGGGGCCCTACAAACCAGTGTTCTTTGCGGATCAGATACCAAGCCAATTTTTGACTCATCAGAGAACATCACGTTATTCCAGTTAGGATCATGATGCACCATTTCTCTAGCCCATTGCAACCTTACTATCTTGTGTTGGTAGGTTAGTTTGGGAACATGTAGCGGTCTTCTACGATAAAAATTTACCGCATTTAGTCTGTGGGTTATTGTGTGCCGTGAAATATTCAGTCCTTGAAGCCTAGAAATTTCTCTGTATATACCACTTGTAGATTCCAGACGATTTCTACGAGCTATCAATGTTGTTTGCCGGTCTTGTGCTGCTGTTGTACTTCGACTTTTACCACTTCTGGGACAAACCTTGACGTCATTTGTATCTTAGATTTTTTTTTAATTTTTGATACAGCACTCTGAGCAACATCAACAATATTCGCGATGTAACTTTGACTAAAGCCCTGTTGTAACAAAGAAATTACTCTAGATCTGCCAAAATTAGATATCACGTTTCTAGGCATTTTTAAACGACTCAATTCCACTTTAAACAAAGACTGAAATAATGTGTAAATACGTTAATCAATTGAATGTGACCAAAATCATACAAAAACGATTTAATTTTTTTATCATTTTCATTTAAAAACGCTCTAAAATGAATATCAGTATTATAACAGTTTTAAAACCATGATAGGCGTAGATATATTATTTGTACGTATTCCACACTTTTGGACATGTGTGTATATAGAAATTATATTGTTAACTGCTAATCTTTAAAAATATTAAAGAACAACAAAAAAAGAAGAATCATTATTTCAGCTTTATTAATTAATATGGCAGAATGGTTAAACCTATAATTTATTTATTAATCTGTACATAAATTTTGTTTTGTGTACAAACCTACCCTGACAGGTGGAAGCCATTACGAAGCGGATGCCTGAGGTTAAAGACCTATATGCTAATTCTTGGCATTTAACAAATTAGTTTTGTCTTCGTCGGTTAATTAAAAAATGTAATTAGTGGTAATCAGAAATCATGTAACTATACGCAGTGATATAATTATAGAAATATTTGTTTTTAAAAGTGATTGAATCGATAAAAAATTGACTAAGTATACAATATCAGAAATAAGCCACTATCCGAAAAAACGCTAACAAGGAACAAAGATTTGCGATTAGCTTATACACCACAGGTTGTCATGTTTTCATTATGAAAAAGCTTTAAATTCTATAAAATTGAAATACGAGTATGTAGATTTTTGTAGATTTCAAAAGTGTGGTTTGGCAAACAATTACTCTTCAGTTACAAACAATATATGGACGGATAGAGTGGTTTTGGTCCGATAAAATAAGAACTAGCTTCTTCTTTAGCGAGACTAACAACAATACTCTTCTCACCAAAAATTCCTTTATACGTATACCTATAACAAAGTTACTTTCTTGTTATTCGCTTGACTTAAAAATTGTAGGCTTGAGTGCAACTGGCATATTGTTGTGAGAGGCAATAAATAATTTTACCGAATTGAGCTGTTTTTTCAAGCATTGTTGGGCACAAAAGTCTTTTGCTAATAATTGTGCTTGAAATATTGGCAAGAGGTTCAATCCGAGGGGTCTTGATAGTTAGGTGTTAAGACCATTAATTCTTTCATGTGTTTTGACAACCTATATAATAAGTGAGGACACCTCTTGTGATTTAAGTTGTTTTGTTTTGTGTTAACTTGCACTACATATAAATGGAGTTTATAAATATGGATGTTTACTGAGAGTTCTAATTCTATTTTGCAGCTATAATGTTCTTAGACATCATGGATTACGTTGTCTCAATCCTTAGAATCTCAAAATCCCCAGTGGGTTATCCTGGTTTTAGATAATGGGCCTCTGTTAACCAAAAGACACTTGCTCTAGTGATCCTTCTTTCATATATGTATTTAGCTATGTAAGGTCCCACATTACCTCTAAGGCTGCTGTAGGGAACCATCTTATATGCAAGCAAGTACTTTTTACAACTCTATTTCACGACATCCTTTATATATGACCAATGCGTCATTTTAGGTTTCAGACTTCATGTTTTGTCAAAGAGAATATGGCTAGTTCAAAGTGAGTTTCCTATCAATCATAAGTCATCATTCATAGTCGGAAATCGGATTGTTAATTTCTTCGTATTAGTGAATGAAACAGATCAATTTTTATTAGGATTTATTGAAAGACTTTCTTTTGGACGGTAGTTACTAGGTACCTTGCTTGCTATCATGCATACTTATCTCTACCCAGTATAACTAGATCATCCGCATAGTCCAGAGGCTTCCTTTTTCAGCTTTTTAAAATATCAAATTCAGCTTTTTAAAATATCAAATTATGCTTTGAAGCATGTTTAAAATTTCTTTAAATTATTTCCTTTAGAAAATTATTTTCACGCCAGCTATGTCTATATATCTTCTTTAAAAAAGCCTTAGAAATAACCCGACAGCACCGAGCGATTTGTTACGCTCTTTTTTAACAAAGAAATAACTTCGCCAAATGTTCCCTGTTCTCTTTATCTAGCTTTGCTACATAGAAATCTTTCCTAATAACGAAGGAAAGAGTCCCTATTGTGAAATCTCCGTTCTACCTTCTCAGAAAAACAGAAGAGTTGTTTTTCGGAGAAAGATAATTTCTATCGGTAGAGGAAGGGTAAGCTACGAAAGTGAACCCCAGTAACCCGGCTATTTAATATCAATTTCGCGTGGCACCCTTCAGCCAATATCCCCTCTCTGTTCTCATCTTTCGCTTGTCTAAGTCCGTCTAAGTTCAGAATCCGAATTCATTTTCGAGTTGGTTCCTGTGGCAAGCGGTTTGTCTTCATCTATCGGCGGTAAGTGGATTTTCAATTCACCCTTATCTATATAAAATATCTTTACACAGTGTGTCCT